TCATCATAGAGTCTACTAATCACTTCATCCACAACAGCTGTATCAGTTTGCCTTAGTTGTTAGTGGTGTTGGGTCAGTCTTTTCAGTTTCCATCACCACCAGGTCCCTTCGGAGAAACCGGATATGACCATTTCAAACAAAGATTGAGATTGTATTCGTTGTGGTGCTGTATTTGACCAAACCAGCGTACGCATATATCCTAGAACTTCTTCGCGTTTATTATTGTGTCCTAACGTTGTGATTACTCGACATCCACAACATAATTCAAAAGGCACTAGAGAAAGAGTACGAACCTGTATTATCGCAATAATAAAAATTCAAAAGTTGAGCGAGTACAATGTGTCAATTGTTAACGCGCAATTTTTAGAGTGATAAACGAATTAAAGTTCACTTACATAGGACGGCGGCCTGCTTGAACATAGGGCTACCAAAAATTCCACCTTACCACATTTTGCAAAATTGCTTTGGTTTGCTCTTTTAATTTTGTTTTAATTTATCAATAATGTGTTCTAATCGTATTATTTATAATCGCGCATTTTTAAAATCATGACAACCTACTGCGTTGTGTCATCCACAAAAATTGAGAAAAAAGCATCACTGTGGATGGCAGCGTGCACTGAAACGTACACAGATTAATCAAATGACTATTCCTGAACTCGTTAGCACTAATTGTAGATCCCTGTCCAACAAAATGGATTATCTTCAATCCCTAATGTATTCTAATGTTTATCGAAACGCTGGCGTTTTAGCAATACAAGAGACTTGGCTGCACCAGCATTATGATGATAATCTAGTTTCAATAAATGGATATAAAGTTTTTCGACAAGATAGAATAAGTTCTAAGAAAAAATGTGGAGGAGGGGTAGCCACTTTTATAAACACAAGTTGGTCTACATCAAATCACGTTTGCTTCAATTATTCTAGTGACAATATAGACTGCATAACCGTCAGGTGTCGCCCAAAACACTTAAGTAAATATTCTTACACATACATAACAAATATCTACATAACACCCAATTGTAGCCTTTCAAATATAGTTACGTTTGCAGATGAATTTACTGAATTCGCTGCTCCTGCATTCGGAAACTCGCTGTCTATAGTCTGTGGTGATTTTAATTCATGTGATCACAGCTTTCTTACTTCACTTGGTCATGAGAATCTAGTCAAGTTTAATACACGTCTGGACAAATCACTAGACCTGGTTTTCATAAACGACCGTGATGTATATGAAACCAGAAGGAGAGCTCCTTTGTTAAACTCTGACCACTGCATTATTCGTATTTTACCGAAAGTGTACGGCAAGTTACAACAACAAAAATTGTTTAGTCATTTAACAAAGAAGATACATGAACGTTCATATTCCCATGACAACATTCTAGCACTAAGAAGCATGTTGTATGATACCAACTGGGAACTATTTACTGACGATAAGTTGGATGCTACTGTCTCTAATATAACCGATTATCTGAAGTTTTGTTTGGATATTTGCTGTCCATATGAAACACTGTTTTCGAGATTTGACAGAATCTCTTCTTTGCAGCTGAAAAAACTTAGAAGACAAAAAGAGAAGTTGTATAAAAATTGTGATAATACCGGTGTCCGTAAAATAAACACCCTTATAAAAATTGAAATAGAAAGATTGAACAGACTATATAATGAAAAATTTTTATCATGTAAAAATCCTTCAAACATTTGGAAACTTTTCAATAAACTTACAAGTAAAAAACAAATGTCTGTTGATGCTTATTCTGATGTTAATGCTTTAAACAAATCATTTATCATGAAACAAATTAATATACCTGTACCTGATGTAACTAGTCAAGATAATGGTAATTTTCCGGGTTTTAAAGAAGAGGATGTACTATTATGTTTGAAATCTTTAAATCCAACACACAGCCTTGGTCCAGATGGTGTACCAGGCATTCTTCTTCAAAAGTGTGCAGACATCTTGTGTCATCCTCTTACTCAAATCTTTAATGCATCATTCAACAAGGAAACGGTACCTGCTGACTGGAAAGAAATCAAGGTTGTACCTGTACAGAAATCATCATCTGGAGCAGGTATAAAGTTTAGACCGGTCGCTATAACATCTCCTTTTTTGAAAACTATGGAGAAACTTCTTTTGAATACTCTTAAACCTTCTTTAAAAGCTTTTAGTGACCCTAAGCAGTTTGCTTATAAGTGTGGAAGAAGTACATTAGATCCAGCCATTGTACTACACCACAATATTGTTTCCTGCCTTGATAAGGGTGCTAAGTTCGTTCGAACAGCTTTTTTAGACTATACTGCAGCTTTCGACTCTGTTCCTAGGACACTTTTATTAGGAAAGATGATTTCAGCACAGACAGAGTCCTGGGCAACTAGATGGCTGTCTTCTTATTTTAAGGATAGGAAACAGCATACTGTTTTGGCTGGAAAGCGCTCCACTTCTCAGCTAACTGAAAGTGGTGTGCCTCAAGGAGCAGTACTTTCTCCATTTCTTTTCTCTTTCTTTTTGCATGACCTTCCGAACTCACCCAACGTTAACTTCATTAAGTATGCTGATGATCTGACCGTTTCTGTCCCTGTAGTTTCCACATTGGATTGTTCCCATATGAATGGCTTCTTAGCTGAAGTTAAGGATTGGTCTAGCTCAAATGGTCTTAAACTAAATCCAACTAAATGTAATACTGTTGATTTCAGCTTGAGAAATGAAAAAGACATGCATGGATTGATCCAATCTCATGATTGTTGTAATATTGATGGTACCATGATAGAGAGTAAGTCAAGTGTTTCTTATCTTGGCATTAGTTTCTCTTCAAACCTTTGCTGGTCGTCTCATATTCTTATAGTTTCTACGAAAGTTTTCCGTCTGACTTATTACATAAAGAAGTTGAGGCACTCAGGTATAACCCAATCTCTTCTCATACAATTTATTAATTCATGTGTTCTGCCCATTATTCTTTATTGTTCCCCATTATTCTTCCCTGGGCTACTCAAAAAAGACCATATAATACTACGAAGAACATTGAGGGCTGTAAGTAGGGTCAGTGCTATCCCTTTGACTCAACTAACCGACACCGTTGTCAATAGGCACATGAGTTCTTGTAAACACTTAGCTAAAGTTATTTTGTCTGATAGTGAACATCCTCTTTATTCACATTTGTTTCCTTGTATCTCTTCGGGTAAGACCAGAAGAAATTTCATAAACATTTATGCTCGTACTACAAAATATAAAAATTCGACCGTACCATATTTGGCACGAGTATTGTGTGAAGAGACGAATATCAGAAAAGAACTTTTACAACTTCTAAATCATTAACTCAACTAAAAAATGTAATGATGTATATTATTGCATGTGTGATTTGTTATATTACTTATTTATTATTCACTATGACCTAGAAATGGTGTATTTTGTTGGGGTTTTTATTTTTCCTATTAACTATTACTATTTTTAAAATTTTATACATTTATATAATTATAAAAAGAGCTAAACCATTGCAATATGTAAAATGAAACGCTGAAAATTCCATGCTGTAAATTGTTATTGTTGTGGAATAAAGTGAATTATTATTATTATATTACGATGATGAATGATAAAATGGGTCACTACATATTCCTCCGAATGCCTTCGGCAACATTGAGAAATATCTGAAGATGTATACATATCAGGTGAATTGACCTTTTCTCTGGTGAACAATTCCTTATCTTAGGCACACCGAATATGTGATCAAGGGAGGGAACAATCACAGAGTTGGTGACATTCTACACAGTCATCCGTATATACCAAGACAGATTTGAAGAATTTTAGTACGTCTAGAACATCTATCACACTCTTTCTTCTGTAAAAAGCATGTATTATACAAGTTACTTTCTTCTCCATCCGATACAACCAACTGAAATAGATCAAATCTTCAAAATTTATACTTTTTTGAGACTGAAGGTATGGACGTTCCCGAGTTGTACGGATTATACTAACGCAAGATCTTATATCAACAACTTCTATAGTGTTCGTTCTTCGAGTACCAAATGGTAAAGCAAAAGACCAGATTTTGTCGTCCAAAGTACGTATTATATTTCGGGACAAAACCATGGGTAGAGGTGAATGCTTAGCTACCTAGTAATCGTGCACGCACGTGACATGACGGAGCACCAAATGGCGGGGACGCTTGACCGGAAGCCTTCAGCTAAACAAGTCGACTTAAACAGTGATGGTCAGCATCCAATGTTGAGTGATGATTGCTGTGGTTAATAATTTTGGGGAATTATTTACCGCTACAACTTCTTTGATTAATTTACCCAGCAATAGTCATCTTGTAAGTGGATCCAATGCTTGTCACATCTGTGAAATTTATAAATATATTGACCTGTTCCCTTAAGCTGAAAAATATAATGTCTATCTGATTTTATTATTACTCTTTCAAATCATGCCTCAGTGACGTACACTGCGAGCTTGTGTTTCAAATACGAAATAGACTTATTGGAAAGGGTGCAAAGAGTAGGAACTAAGATAATAAAGGGTTTCTCAACCCTCTCATATGAGGAGAGGTTAAGTTGACTGGGTTTATTTCCACTGTCATACAGACTACTTAGGGGTGACCTAATACTAGCATACCGTATCCTAAAAAATGATTTTGGAGCTAATTTATCTAATTCATTTCTTCCTTCTAGCACCAACCAATAACGAGGACATCACCTCAAGGTTCAAAAACCACGGTCGAGTCGTCTGCGTCTGGAGATCCGTTTTTCGCATCGAATTGTGAACCACTGGAACTCCCTACCGGAACACGTCGTATCAGCGCCATCCGTTGATTCACTCAAGGCGAGATTGGACCTCCTGTGTACAACAAATCGAAAGGATTAACACAGGCATATAGCCTACTATCCTAAATAAATTGTAAACTGTAAACTGTCAACTGTATTAGCCGCAACGTTTGCGCAAATGAAATTCTACCAATCACAATGAGAATAAGTGACCTTCAAGTGCTCAGCCTCTCTATTAGCCGTTGGTGTCGCTACCCTCTGTCCTGACTTCCAACCGAAAGGTATGCAGGAGCATCCTAGTTCTTTTCGTAGTGTGGACTTTTCGTGTTACTCTTTGACCGTAAATATTAATATTGATGAAGCTGTTCAACCGCCATCTGTTTTCTTTTCATCCATAGTGTGCTGTAATGTTTTTGATCCCCAATTGTTTGTATTCCTTATTACAGAATGGATGACGGAGAGGACAACGAAAAACCAAGGAAACCGACAACACATGATGAGCGAGGTGCAGCTGACCTGGAACGTGTTACTGATTATTTCGAAGAAAAAGAGCTCAGTGTTGGACTAGACGCAGTTAAAGCTGTATCAGATACTGCTGGTGATGCCGTGGCCGCTGACAAAGCTCAAAAACAGAAACAAATGCTTAAGGTTAAGGTCAGAAATGAAGACATAGCCTTGATCGTGAGTTTCTCTTTATGTGTACGATCAAATAATATCCTAAATATTTTTCCTCAGTAATGTGAAAGTCGTATCCCATATCAGAATTAGTAGACGTGAAATTTTGCAAGAATATCTTGACGTTCATACATCATTCGCAAATGATGTATAGTTGGAGTTAAGATTTATTTGTGAGGGTTTAGTTCGAAGCATCTGTTGAATGTCGTCTTTCCACTGAATCTTGGTTAACGTTCATTATTAACAACGTTCCTCACCAGTCGGAAAATGCACTTGGGTTAAGTGAAGAAAAAGTTGATAAAATGCAAAATAAAATACCCAATTTCCCATTTCTTCCAAAATCTTTACTACCCACTGTTAGCCATTTTACCAATGTCATTAGCAAAATTAGTCCACCTTAGTCAGTTGTAAACGGAAATTTGCCCCGTCTTCATAAACTACCCATGTTCACCAAATAATTTTCCAGGTGTGTGATCTGTCCGCAAAACTCTATTATTACCTTTACCGATCCTTGATACACAGAATGAATTTACAACATTTCTTTTTCAGTGCCAAGAGATGGAGGTTAGTAAGCTGATGGCCGAACGTCACCTCAAAGAACACCAAGGTGATCTCTACGAGACCTTAGTTGACCTGTGCAGATAAAGATAGAAAGAAAACGACTGGAAAACGTTGATTGTATTTAATGCACATATTGTACACATAAAATGAAGTCTTTCTGTACAAAACTAGCAGTGTTTGCTGTCATTAGGTGAGGTATTTTCATTGGGTGAACATATTTCAAAGGGCTTAGGTAGTGTTGTAGGAGTATGAGTCATTTTGGTTGATTTGCATCAGCTGATGGTTTTGTGGCTTACATACAGTCTCTTGACGAAGTGGTTTTATCTCCTTGACGTCTTCTTCCACCCAACTTGTGAATGATGTTACGAAGCTGCATCAATTGAGATGACTATGGCCGATGTGTGTGTGTGTGTGTGTGTTTGATGCATTCCGAGTCATCACCTACGTCGTCGAGTAATGTCAGCTGATATAGGATTAGGTTGAGAAAGAGTAAGCGGTGGTCGGACCAAACGATGTTAGCAATCGGTGAAGACTATGACTGTTGGTTTGAGCCGTGTAGGGAGGTGTAGACTGTCTGGATGGAATCGTCGAGATTGTTTGTGACATGGTTGAAAATTGTTGTCGATGGTGGAGCTCCATTGACTTTTTATGAACTCTTAGATACATCAAATTCACATTATTCCATACGTTCTTATTCTTTCTCCGGTGCACTTCCATTAATTATCGTTTCTCTGAATTATTTTCTTTACGTTTGTATTCTGTGTGTTGTGTGTGGGGACTCGAAGTGCTTAACTTTTGTTCAAAGTTCTCCGTTGCAAATGAGCAATAGATTGTGATCAAAGCGTCATCATCATGTAATACTGTATGAGTTAACGTTTTGTCAAAGAGAATTATTCTCAGTCAGTCGAACTGAACACGTGATTCAGTGTAAACATCCGAGATAGGGGCATTTGTCTTTGGATCAATAACCAAGAAGAGGATAACTAATGAAATCTAGGAAGAGTGATAGTCACTGTAATGGAATTCATATGTTTATTGAAATCGGGATGTACGTTGACATAGAGCCGGTCTACTCTCCTAGTCAATGTGATGGTCATTACGTTAGTTCCGGATTATTCACTGAACGATGAATATCAGAAAGCTCTCAAATACCATTCCACAAGGATCCTGGTTGTGTTTTGTTTTCACATGATGATTACGGTTAAAGCAAGTTGTTGATGTCAAGGGTTTTGTTAGCCAGGTTATGAGATGAAATAATTCTGTTGTCGACTAAGCTTGAAAGGATTCGAGTTTCAAACAAAGAAGGCCTTGCATCCACTCACGTCGTCTTCTCAAACTACTCACTTGAAGTTTCGACATGTTAGATGTATATTGTTTCGATGTGTTGATACAGAAATTAAAATACTAAAGTGGTACTAGCACACTTGATGATAAAGTAACTGATTACTCAGTATGAAATCACTATATCTCACACCGTACGTATGCCTCGAAGAGCTTGGATATGATGTAATATAGTGATTCATGTATTTATTGCTAGACTATTTACGTATGTGTAAAACAATAGTTATGGACTTTTTCGAATAGCGCATATTTTAGTTTACTGTTGGGATAAATAAATCAGTTGGAAAGAGTACATTGTAGGTATTCGATCACAATTAATTTAGTCTTTGTGGAAACAATTCAGTTCCCAAAATGATAAGCTGTGTATTTGCATGGACTATGAACCCACACATATCCTGTAATCATTGAATTTACAACATTTCTTTTTCAGTGCCAAGAGATGGAGGTTAGTAAGCTGATGGCCGAACGTCACCTCAAAGAACACCAAGGTGATCTCTACGAGACCTTAGTTGACCTGTGCAGATAAAGATAAAAAGAAAACGACTGGAAAACGTTGATTGTATTTAATGCACATATTGTACACATAAAATGAAGTCTTTCTGTACAAAACTAGCAGTGTTTGCTGTCATTAGGTGAGGTATTTTCATTGGGTGAACATATTTCAAAGGGCTTAGGTAGTGTTGTAGGAGTATGAGTCATTTTGGTTGATTTGCATCAGCTGATGGTTTTGTGGCTTACATACAGTCTCTTGACGAAGTGGTTTTATCTCCTTGACGTCTTCTTCCACCCAACTTGTGAATGATGTTACGAAGCTGCATCAATTGAGATGACTATGGCCGATGTGTGTGTGTGTGTGTGTGTGTTTGATGCATTCCGAGTCATCACCTACGTCGTCGAGTAATGTCAGCTGATATAGGATTAGGTTGAGAAAGAGTAAGCGGTGGTCGGACCAAACGATGTTAGCAATCGGTGAAGACTATGACTGTTGGTTTGAGCCGTGTAGGGAGGTGTAGACTGTCTGGATGGAATCGTCGAGATTGTTTGTGACATGGTTGAAAATTGTTGTCGATGGTGGAGCTCCATTGACTTTTTATGAACTCTTAGATACATCAAATTCACATTAATACATGTATTGTTATTTTTGCTGCCGATCACTTTTCTCATTTTACTCAGTTGTAGTGTTGCTTTTGATTTAATTATTGTGAACCCTTCGATTTCGTGAATTATCTCCAGACATCAATGAAAGCATAACTCGTAGTTTAATGAACTGTGTCTTTTCGTCGAATTTATTCACTGAGATTTACAATCGGAATTAAATATAATTATTTGTTTTTGTGTGTGCATTCTGTTCGGTAGACAACAATGAAAATTATTTAGGGCTATTGTTGACGTCATCAAGATATTTCAAAAAAATGTGGTGAATAATCAAATTGTAACTGGGGGAAGGTAGGTGAATATTAGTAAGAGCGTAGTGATGATGAGTTGTCAAAATACATATTTGTTAATATTAATCAATGTATGAGACTAGTTGAATAAGTGTATTATAGTTACGCAATAAGATGACTGAGTTTTGATTAGGATGTACACAGAAACGAAGGAGAATATGGAATTGTGTATGAGGTGTAATGAAATACAAGAGTATTAAGGAGTTAGATAAGCGGCCATACAAACATCAAGTCGGTAGAAATCAACACTTTTGGTGCCAGGTCGGTAGAAGTGGTCGGATGATTTTCTTTTGTATATATAACTCAGATTTTCCAACTAGATAACTAAGGCTTCAGCAATACAAAAGAGACGAAAGCGTATTGCCCTTCGTAGATTATTCTTGACTCTGTAGATTACTCTGAAGGAGGCGTTTTTCGAGATGGAATGGCCAGTGTTGACAAGGTGTTCGACTGTCGCACTCCTTATAGAGCCACTACTACCTTTTTGTAGCCATGCGGGATAGTGTTCTTGAACTCTTTAGGACGGGATACATGCTGAACGACCAATGTTCCTGGCTCCACAGCAACAGGTGAACTGATATATTCACATATGCGCTATGCTAAGTGTAAAGCCATCGTAAAGAAACTACGAAATGATACCATCTCGCAATATTAGTCTTCTCAATGCCTTATTTAAATGTAACAAATGGACTACCTGTCTTGATTTTTTTAGGTGAAAGACTAAGTGGCCAAAACGGCTGGACCTGTTAGATCGGAGCTACAATCCCATTACCAGTTGCAAGTCCACCTCAAACTTACGATATATTTGTACCAGGATAATATGAGCTCATCTTTTATTATTTCGAGGATTCTTCTCATCTGGTTACAACCTGGGGTTCCCTGACTGATACCAATCTGTGGTCAAGCGTGACACTCATTTAGCTTCATTTATCCCCCAGCCAGCAAATTAACTCAAATCTTCCGTGAATACATCATATATATATACACATATTCTATATTCTGCAGGAAGCAGTTAAGGTGAATCAGAAAAATAAAGGAATTTACATTATGTTCCTGCTAATGTTCTCATTATTCAAGCTATTGAGTAGACAGAATTGAAAGAAATATCGTCACCCACATCAGTCATTGATCCGAATTTTGCCATTTAACGTTTTTAATGCCACATCATGAGGTACTTGCAAAAGACAAATGGTAAATCCGCCTTTAAAAAAGCTAAAAGCGTATCTGACACCTACATAATCTCATTCCATCTCTCAAACTGTCATCACCAATGTAAATGATTCACAACTACTCATTCTGAACATAGATGTCAGTCAGGTGGATTTGAAATTTATTTTTTAAAATATTTGTCCAGACAGACATCACTACTGATTTAATCATTCCTGTGCAGCTTTCCCTCTCTTTTAAGTCAGTCAGAATACCTCTTCACCGTAATGGCACTAACCAGAGAATTCTTCTTATTCCTGTATTTTTGCATGGAAGGAGTCCATTGGATGTTTATACTCACTTCCTTCTAGCTGGAGTAACTGCATTAGTTGTTATACTACTACTCTGCGAACCAGTAGCTCCTCATCAACTTATTTATGGCATAATGCGCCTTTATTTCTTACATGAATATAGTATCTCAATGAGAACACAACTGTCAGTCTAAGCATTTCGTTTATAAGAAAGTCTAGACAAAAAATTTACGCCAATCACTATCATTTTCATTTCTGGGTATGCAAATCTCAAAGGAGTAACACCAACAGAATATTGATTGGAGGATAATATTAGCTACGAATATTCGTTTCCTTAGAATTCCCTTTATGTCTCACAGAGAAAAAGTAAAAAATTCCCTACTCTATTAATAATTAAATTATTGATAGCAGTAATAATAGTCAGTTATGTGAAAAATGACATTCAAGTAACACATGAATGTGCCTATATTATTCACTTGTTAGCCGCAATGTCGCACAACCTTGTGAATGGAGGTTATATACATTTTTCTACATTTTATTACACATTATCATCAGGTTATTGTCTGTCAGAGTTTAATGAGATACTGGTGTGATTTATCCAAATATCGACGCGGTTCAAGCAATTACAAAAACGAGTAACTGTGGTGTCTGAATCCCTTGGGATTCATAGTCACCTAATAAGATTTTGACATTCTATGACTGCTGAGTGAGTTGAACCTAAGAAAGTGTTTCACACTGCATATTGAGAAGACACAGAAAATGTTCAATAAACGTATACAGTGAGTAGTAATTAATTATTTTATATGTAAAATGACCGACTGGATATAGAAGATTTAGGAGA